CACCCTGAACTCAGAGGATGCAACCTGAGACTGATGGAATGATTCTCCTATCATTTTGACATCAGCGGATGGAGCCCTGGAGTGATAGAGCGCCCCTGATTTTACAACCAAAGCTCCGTTGTCACTTGGACTCAGAGGAAGGAGCTTTGGACTGACGGGGCGCCCCTGATTCTTCAAAACCAATACCACCCCGAACTCAGAGGATGGAGCTCCGGACTGATGGGGCGTCAGAGGTCCTACATCACCCTGAACTCAGAAAACTGAGCCTGGGAGTGCTGGGGCGCCCCGATGTTTGAATCAGAGCTCCTATCACCCTGAACTCAGAGGATGCCCTGATTTTCAGACCAGAACTCGTATTATATCACCCGGAACCCAAAACATGGAGCCTTGGACTGATGGCCCGATGTTAAAATGAGAATTCCAATATCACCTTGAACTCAGAGTGATGGGGCGCCCCTGATGTTAAAATCAGAACTCCTATTTCACCCTGAACTCAGAGGATGGAGCCTGGGACTGATGGGGCACCCCTGATTGAAAAACCTGGTTTTAAAATGATTTCGACCGATGGGGCGCCCAAACTCCTTTATCACCCTGAACTCAGAACACAACTCAAAGAATGGAGCCATGGACTGACATCAGAACACCTATATATAACCCTAAACTCAGAGGATGGGGCCTTGGACTGATGGGGCCCCATTCACAAAATACGAACTCCTAAATCATCCTGAACTCAGAGAATGGAGCCTGGATGGGGCGTCCCTGATGTTACAAACAGAACTCCTATATCACGCTGAACTCAGAAAACGGAGCCTGGGAGTGATGGAGCGCCGCTGATCTTGAAATCAGAACTCCTATATCACCCTGAGCTCAGAGCCTGCAGCCTTGGACTGATAGGGTGCCTTTGATTTCAAGATCAGAAGTTCCATATTTCCTCGAATTTCGTCTTTCGCGGCCGAATTTCGTCTTCAGGGCCGAATTGCGTCTTCGCGGCCGAATTTCGTCTTCAGGGCCGAATTGCGTCTTCGCGGCCGAATTTCGCACGTATTGCTCTCTCTGTGCAATTATGTCTCCAGGTATGTCAGTGGCTAAGGGCGCAGAGTGCGACAGGGTGCTGGGCTTCGGACAAGACCAACAGGACCATCCCCTGGGCTCAAGGAAGGCTGGGCCTCAAGGAAGAAAGCTGCGATGCAGACTTTCAAGGAGGTTTGCAAGCTCCCCTGCCCCTTGGGTGGCTGCAGCAATGTGAACTAATGCCGGTAGCAAGTAGGCCAGTGTTTTGCCTGCCGACAGGGTTTAGGGTTTAGGGATGCTTCCTCATCACAGGTAAAGAGCCGGATTCACCACTGCCGGTCTGTGCAATCCCAACCATATCTCTTCCAGAAAGTGCGGTGGGCCATCCTGGATACTAAATGGAAATCTTGCATTTAATTTCCAATCATAGCAATCAACGGCTGCGCTCATAAGATTCCAGCCCATGGACTGTATAGGTGTTGGTCTGTCGAACGTGCTGCGAACCTCCATGTGGTAAAGCAAGCCTACGCTCGTGCACCACCGCAGACCATGAGGACAAGGCAGCTTGCAGCAAATCGTCCGCCAGGCTGAGATGATCAAACGACATGACCGGCCTGCCAAGATGCTGGGAGAAAGGTGCCAACAACCGGTAGACACATGCATGTCATCGAATTACACAAGGCCTGGGATGCGGCTTACGGCCTTCTACGTTTGCGTTCAACGCCTTCATTGCAACATGAAGCAAGACTCGTAAGCACGGGCAGACGGCCACGCGCCGCTTGGCCTTGAAAGCCGCTGCAACCTCTGAAGATTGCGATACGGCCATGAAGGGCTCTGCACTTCCTCTAAGTTATCGGCCTGCTCTGAAGTCATCGATGCGACTTCAGGGTGCTCGTCGTAGAAGTTTCTCGGCCGAACATGCTCTTCAACGTTTGCACTGTGCAATCACCAACGACATCCCGAGATGCAAGCTTTTGGAGCTTGACCAGCCTCAGCTCAACGTGCCAATTTCGAAGGCAGAAATGGAAGCAAAGGTTCCTCGGCTGCGAGCGACTCCTCCTCCCAATTTAGTTGTCTGAGATTCTGCCCTGCGATTCTGCGATTCGTCAGAGTTGCTAAACCAGGAACTTCAGCTGTGAGCACCCAACCAAGGTTGCCCATGCGGTCTGGCATCCCACCGCCTGTCAAGGGAGGTCTGCCTCACAGCGGCGAAACTCCCAAGCTCGCGTAGGTTCGTGTCACGAGTTTTCGTTCCGGCCTCGGTGACCTTCAAAGCTCCCGACAAAGCCTTCCTGACCAATAGCGAGCCGTGCTTCTGCCGGTCGTCATCCCTATGCTCCCTCCATGCTCCTCATCTCGAGATCGACCTGCAGCGGACAAGCCAGACTGCAACACATGGCAGAGCCTCACAGAACCAACATGCGAGTCTCTGACACGTTCGCCTAGTCACCTAATTTCCTATGCCTGGGGAGCGTTGCCGCGGATAATCATCACCTGTCAAGACTTGAGGCTTGACTTCAGATTTGAAAAAGACACCGAAATGAAACCGGCAAGCCCGATCAAGTTTCGGAACAGTAGGCGAACAAGACTTGAACTTACTTATGCTGCTTCTACCAAGCTGCAAGTAGCCCGAACACACATGAAACCTTTGCATGCACATACCGATTTAGCACGGCGATGGTGATCAGTGGTGCAAGACTATGCTCTGACATGCCAGGGTTGGTGCGGTTGATCAGGGCAACGTCATAGAGTCGTCGTAGGTTCGGTGCTGCTACTGCTACTGCTACTGCTACTACTACTGCCACTGCCACTGCCACTGCCACTGCCACTACCACTACCACTACCACTACCACTACCGCTACCGCTACCGCTACCGCTACCGCTACCACCACCACTACTACAACCACCACTACTACCACCACTACCACTACCACTACCACTGCCACTGCCACTGCCACTGCCACTGCCACTACCACTACCACGACCACGACCACGACCACGACCACGACCACGACCAGGACCA